AGATTTGCTGCTTCCAAAGTCCTAGAGCTCTTTTCCAGGGAGGTTGTGGATGCTCCATCCAATGTGTCCACCAACAGGACACGGGGAAGTGCATTTAAGTTAAAGGAGAATGGGTTTAGATTGGATCTGAGGAAAAAAATCCAATCAGTGCGAGGGTGGCCAGACTCTGGCACAGATTGCCCAGAGAGGCTGTGGCTGCCCCTCCCTGGAGGTGTTCAAGGCCAGGTTGGATGAACCTGGAGCAACCTGGGCTGGTTGAGAGGTTGGATCAGGTGATCTCTGAGGTCCCTTCCAGCCTCGGCCATTCCAGGATTCTGTGACTTTTTTTCCCTACGCATTTAGAGCTGGAGAAAATAGCTTCTACCTGAGAGGCCGGTGATATCCATCTTTGGCAAGTGCCGGGCTTTCAGCACCACAACTGTCATTCTCTGCGCCACAGGCTGGTACGACAAGGAGACCTGCAGTTCCCCTCTGCTAATGCATTTCTGTGAAAAAGAAACAAAGAACTTATTAGGACACAACGGTCTTAGAAACGGGCAAATGCTGCAAGTCCCTAGAGCTGCCTGTCCCTGCGCTAAATGCTGGGAAGCAGGACGGTGTAAGTGCCTCGGGCACGAGCTTTGGGAGAAGGAGCGAGTGGCGAAAGGAAAATCATGCTGTGTCACTGAGCTCCTGCCTCTCGCCTGGAATTCTGCGATTCCACCAGTGCAAACCCAGCGGGTGCTTTCGAGACCCCGGCGGCCGTCGCTGCCTGTTGAGATCTACTGGAGGTGTCGGTGGGTTTTGGGAGCTTAAGGGTCACTGAGTTTTGGCGGAGCTTCGAGGGGCAAGCACCTCAAGTTCTTTACAATGCTCTGACAGGTTCTCCATGGGCTTAGTCTGCAAGGGTACGGCAGGACACACAAAAAGGTAAGAACAGATCTACTGGGTTAAACTTGCCCTTAAGTTGGACACAGCAACTATTTGCCGTTGTTTTCCAAAACGCACGGAACAACGGTTACTGCTGCTCGTGCAAACTTTTGGGGAAACAGTAAATACGGGAGCAATTTCCTGGCCCTGAAAGGGAAACGGTCAGAACTTCAGCTCCTTGGATACGCCAGAGTGCAAGAGCCAGAGAGCGTACTTGTTAGGAATTCTGGGGTTCTTTTTGTCTGGACTAATTTAACGCAGTTATTTCAGAGTAATTTGTAGTGAAGAGGGCCCTGGGGGTGCTGGTGGGCAGCAGGATGGCCATGAGCCAGCAGTGCCCTCGTGGGCAAGAAGGCCGATGGCTGCCTGGGCTGGGTGAGAAGGGGGTGGCTGGTGGGTCAGAGAGGTTCTCCTGCCCCTCTGCTCTGCCCTGGGGAGGCCACATCTGGAATCTTGTCTCCTTGGGACCTACTCCCTTCATCATCCTCGTAGCTCTCCGTTGGACTCCAATGGAGAGCTACGAGGATGATGAAGGGACTTGAACCAGAGAGGGTGTGGAGTCTCCTGCTCTGGAGACTTTCCAACCCGCCTGGACGCGTTCCTGGGTGGCTGCCCTGGGTGACCCTGCTCTGGCAGGGGGTGGGACTTGATGATTATTCGAGAGGTCCCTTCCAACCCTGCACACTCTGTGATTTGCACCCTTAGCTTGTCAGGGACTATTGGGAAGGCTCGTTAGGTTGGGATGTACTCGGGCTGGCTTGGATCAGTGAAATCCTTTACCGGGGTTTAAACTCGGTTCGGTAGCGCAGATTTTGAAACTTCCTGACAAGGAAAACGCTGCTCGGTAACGGCTGCTTCGACGTTGTGGAATGAAGCAGGTTTTCAAAACCATGTGCCTGACACCACGGTAAATCTATGTTTGCTTACTAATAAATGTTGAAGAATTTGCATCAGTCAAGTTGAATTTCAATCAAGTTGAAATTCAATCAAGTTGAATTTCTTCTTATTTAGAAGAACCCAAGAACCCAAGAAAAGCGAAGGAATTACCAGAACTCTGGTTCTGGTGGGATTCTTTCGGTGTGTTTCGGTTCATTGACCTAAGAGTCTCCTTTAAATAACTTTAATAAAAACAGTTAAATGCCCTGTAGAGTAGAAAAACACTCTTCAGGTAAAATGCTACAGCTCCGGGACCCGGGGAAGTATTTTGTAGAGCCCACCAACAATTTCCAACCTGTTAAGGCAAGAAGTGAGCCCAGATGCTTTTTTTTCTATTAAACCCGGAGGACGGGCAGTAAAAATAAATCAAGCAAGAAAATAAAAACCTTAAGCGCCACCTCCTCCTCCTCCCTGAGGACGGTGTGAAAACATCTCCCCCAGCGTAAGCCGCGATATCTCCCAGGGATTGCTCGCTGGGATTCAATTCACCCAAATTTTAGATGCCTACATTTGGCAAAACCGCTTTGGACACACTCGGTGCTCAAGCGAAACAAAAGAGAGTTGTCTGGGGCGGGAGTGGTCTGCGCCGATCGCCACGTCTGCTCCCAGACAAGCAGAATCGCGTGAGAGGCCGCTGTGTCGGTGTATCCTCACCAGCTTTACAGCAGCGACGCCGCTAATCGCCAGCACCGGTGGCTGAAACAGCCAGAGCAGACAATCCTCCCTGCCTGAGCGGGGTTTGTCTCTGCAGACGAACACCCCGTTATCCCCTCGGCTCTGTCACCTGCAGAGGGGACTCTGCCTTTCCTCTCGGCACCCTCACTCACAACGTTCCCTTTTTTGACGCCTCAACAGCGGTGCCGCCTTCCCGAAGCCACGCGACAGCGAACTGCCGGCTGAAACAGCCAGAGCAGACAATCCTCCCTGCCTGAGCGGGGTTTGTCTCTGCAGACGAACACCCCGTTATCCCCTCGGCTCTGTCACCTGCAGAGGGGACTCTGCCTTTCCTCTCGGCACCCTCACTCACAACGTTCCCTTTTTTGACGCCTCAACAGCGGTGCCGCCTTCCCGAAGCCACGCGACAGCGAACTGCCCCGACGAAAAAACCCGGCCGTGCGATACCCATCACATGGATCCCGGGAAAAATGGGTTTCACGGTTCAGGATTTGCACTAACCCTGCTCGTTAGACCCCAGAGGCTCCCAGAGCAAAGAAACTGGGAACAAATACGACACGAGGAGCCCCGTGTCATGCGACTTACTTGTATGTTCCTTTTGAGGATCTCCCTGGTGAGCTGAACCTTCCCGGTGCTGGGATCCACCCCCGCCAGGGGCACCATGACCTCTCCGATAACGTCGTCTCGTGAGAAACGATCGAAGCTCAGGACGAGGAAGTGAAGCACCAGATCCTGGAGCTGGCTGTAGGGGATGCCGTAGAAGGTGAAGGTTTCGTCGAAGACCGGGTCCAGCGTCTTGCGAAGCACGCGAGTCTTCACTCGGTGCCTTTTGTCTGGGAGAATTGTCATCTTGATGTAGGGGTCGGAGCTCTGCGTGTGCTCGTCCATCACGGGCAGCCCGTGGGCCTCCTGGATAGTCACCACCAGCGCTTTTTTAGGGAAGTTGTAGTCCACTGAGAAAGTCAGTTCACCCAACAAGATGTCATCCCCCGGAGAAGACGGGGAGGAGGTTTTACTTCCTCCCGGCGTGAGGCTTTGATCTGGACTCAGTTCATCTCCGTAATCGACTTTGATCGGGAGCTGGTCCACGTGGGGGGCTGCATTGGGCCCGTCCGGAGCCTTCTCGGCACCCACCAGCCCAGATTCGGCAGCATCCACCGAGAGGTTTCCCCTTCCGCTCTCCTTGGGCGCGCCGCTCTTGTCTCTCCGGATTCGGTTGATTTTCTTCTTGTTACTCAAGGTCTCCGGATAGATACTGATGCCTTTCAACATGTGAATGAATTTATACGGCGGCGTTTTGTGCTTCTTTTCTGCTTGCTGGTGACAGCATGTCCACACAAAAACCGTGACGGAGACAGAAACCACGAGGACGGTAGCGCCGATGAGGCCCGCCACAACCGGCGACACATCTGTGGAGAAGACAAGGCAGTGAGGAAGGAGCTCAGCCCCCCCGGGGCCGAGCGCATCTCGACGGAGACCGTCGTGTTCTTAATTCAACTATCGTGCTGCTCAGCGAATCGTTAAGGTTGGAAAAGACCGAAAAGATCGAGTCCAACCGCCAAGCTGACACCACCGCAACCACGAAACCGTGGCCCCGAGTGTCACGGCTACGCGGTTTTATCGAAGCTTCCCCGGAATAAAGACCAAAATAATTTCCTTTAGTTGATGTTTTCCCACCTAGAAAACAGGCGACACTGCTAAGGCACGCCTCAGTCACGTTTCACTCAGAAATTCAGATTATTCCTAAACAATTTTAGGGTTCCACGACGTCTTGCCAAATCAAACTCCCGCATTACCGGCATCTCCCTGGGAATACGGGGTCTGGATTCACAGGAAACATTTTTGTACTTGACTTGCAGGAAACTCGGCAGCAGGGCTGGAACTACGAGATCTTTGAGGTCCCTTCCAACCCAAACCATTCTACGATTTTAAAATTATTTTCTTCCTCACACACGCTGATCAGAAACATCCCACGACTCTATTTTAACAACACGAAGGTGGTAATAACTACGGCCCTAACACTGAATCTGGAGTTCTCCTTTACTAATGTTTAAAACAAATAAAATCATCCCTTTGGCCTGAAACGGTTGATTTTTTTCCCAGCCCCTTACGGCCGACACCAAATTTCCCGATGAAATTCAATGTCCAAAAACACCGGGTAGAAAATTCTGTCTCTGGATTATCTGAAATTTTCTAGATCTCATGTCAACAATCTTTCTTCGGTAACGACAAGCCGGAATAAAAAAGCTCCACGTTCATTTTTAACAACCACGCTAGTTATTATTTTGGTTGATTTTGGAAAAATGTCGCCGAGCTGCAGGATGAAATCGGCGGCGGCCGACTCCCCGGCACGTGCCGTTGCCATCCTCAAGCGATTCCAGCCCAGGGCCACCGAGATGATTCCAAAGTTGGAGCAGATGGAGGCTGGAGGACGGCGAGCAGATGGAAGACGGGGAGAAACCGAAAGAGCAGGGCTTAAAAAAAAGAGATTTTTTTTGCCGTCTTCAATTTCTCGGCGGGAGGTTATAGGGAAGGTAGAGCCAGACTCTCCTTCGAACTCAATAGTCTGTTTAATCATCGTTAAAGCAAATTATTTGCAATTGTAAAGCAAACAAAAAAGGCCTCTAGCCCCTTTCTTTGCAAACGGCACCACCTGCTTCTGTAGGAAAGGGAAACCTAAAAACCATCGTGGTGCCCATCACGGCAACAGGGGGTACGAAGGGGAAGCTTCTCGGCTTTTCCTGTCCTCGTTCGGAACCGTAAAGGGGAAAAATTCCCCTCCCAGCCTCATACTCGAAGCTACAGAAAGCACCTGGATTGTGTATTTTCTGCTCTTTCCCCATATCTGTTTATCGAGGTGAGAACCCGAGTAGCTGACAGGCTCAGTACAGAAAAAAACCACAAAAGTGATTTTCACGAGAATGCAAATATCGCTTTTCCTTAGCCAGGAGCCTTCCCAGACCCAGACGGGAACCGTCTCTTGCAACGGGGAGCGACTCCACAGATAAATCTGTCCCAGGCCTGCCCGCAAGCACAGCCGGCACCGAGCGACCTGCGGCAAGAACCCCCAGAGGGAACAAAACCCCTCCAGAGCCCCAGCCTGAGCCTGGGATTTAAAGTTCCCTCTTTGAAAGGAGGCAGGTGGACTTTAACGGCTAATTTGAATGCAACTCGGCATTTATTATATGGACATACTGCATTTTTATTCATTATTTTATATATATATCATATACATATTATAGA